TCTATTATTTATATTTTTATAAATTTATTAATTTTCTAAATCTATAAATTACTTTTAAAAATATATTGACTTTCTGTAAATTATTTTTAAGATTATTTTACTCAAAACTTAGTTATAAACTCAAAAATATTTATTATTATTTTTTCTATTTTTTTTTCTTTAACAATCACATAAACCATGGTAACATGCATGGTGTATGGTGTACAACCATGAGTTTAAAACTAGTTTTTTATAAATAAAAAAATGATACCCTTTGCATTATTTTGTACCCTTAAAAATAAGATAAGACTATTTCTTTTTAAGAAATGACTAACTAAACTCTTTTACCTCTTTTATTTGAAGTATGGTCTCCAGATCAACCATTTTTAGGTGAACTTTGTTTAATATTTTTTTTTCCCTTATATTTTTCATTGTTTAGTTCAAAGAAATGGTAATGCTACGAGAATAAATTATAAACACAACAAATATGGAAACACAAAAATATTAGCATATTGAAAATTACACAATACCAGAACAGAATACAGATATATTGTCACCTTTTTTTTACATTTAACCTTATAATAACAAGTCTTATTCTTTGTTCCAGCACAAAGATATCACACTGTAAATTCGACATCTACACAAATATATAATACTTTCACATGAACCCCATAGACAAAACCTAATACAAGGAGAGAACTAAGCATATGTATTAATCCAACATCCACGAAGATATTTAGCGAGTCTCTGTTTCTTCAATTCGACTACTGTTGCTTTCACCAACAACTGGGCTAACCTGTTCCACTTCTGCACCAGAATTTGTATTCTTGGATAAATGTTCACCTCCTGCAACCATAACAACCGCAAACACAAAATCAGAAAAATACACACACAATTTTGCAAAATCTATTTAGCAAAAGAAACCTCATTCACCTTTTCCCTCAAATTTGCCAAACCATGAGCCAACAACACCCTTAAGCTTGTCAACCACACCTTTTCCTGGATCATGCACACAGCTCTCTTCAAGCATTTTCTCATCCCCACCATCCAAGTGATGCTCATTTTTCACTGTCTCTTCCTTCCTCTTACTTAAAGTTTCAGAAATTACCTCAGAAAGTGCCTTGTCCTCTTCACCAGGCCTTAGCTTCTCAGCCAAATACTCCTTCACAGAAACCCCTTTGTCTTGTTCTTTGACCTCATTTGTTGTCTCAGTTCCATACACTTTGGACTTCACTGCATTTCCTACACCTGCAACCTTGTCATAAACTGGACCTAATTTCTGTGTCAGAGAGTCAGCAATGTCCTTCCCATACTGTGCAGTCGAGCCAGACATGTTAGAAGCATCCCTACTTTTTGGTTGCTCTTCATTTATTACCACGTTGTCCTTTCTTTCGTCTTTCTCTACTGAACCTTCCTCAGAAGCTGTGACATCTTTAGGAGAGAAAACTTTATAACAAGAGTGTTCATCAACTGCGGTTGTGATGGTGCTTAAAGTTTGTCCACTGTCTGTGACATTTTCCAGGTTTTTGTTGACATTGGGGGATATCGTTTGCTCATGGCATTCAGAAGAAGGACTCTGAGTTTGAATCGCAGCAGAAAGGTGTGGCACGGACTGATCATGGTTTTCAACACGAGGGGATTCAGAATCAACAATAGCAGGCTGCAGGTTTAGTTCTGAAATAGATTTTGGCTCCTCCTGCACATTCATTCTTGCAAAAGATTCCTCAACCGGTGTGATTTCCATTTCTTCTTTTACTGCTGTAGCCATCACACATGAAAATCTTAATCCAGACCACGGTATATAAATATCATCAAGAGGAGTCAAATCCATTTTTATTAATTTAACCATCAAATCTTGCAAACAGTTACACTGATATTAATGCAATTAGCAAAAAATTGAGTTGTACAACTTTGTTCAATCATCTTACTTACCTTCTTCAGTTGGATAAGTGACTTTGGTTTGATGACTGGGAGGAATATATGCATCAGGCCTACTTCCGGGAGAGTATTGTTCTTCCTCCAATCCTGTTGATCTCTCCAAATTGTCCTTAGGAAGCCCTGCTTTCTCTTCCATCCGAAATGCTTTGGCTGGATCAGAGGCTATCTTATGATCAGTTTCAGTAGTTGAAAATGGTAGTGAATCGTGATGAGATTCATCTGCCATGACTGTTGTATCTCCAATATCAATTCCTGACTTCCCTAAATTTTCGAGTTGCTCACTTGTGGGTGTAACAATTTTAACATCTTCACTTTCATGAACTGCAGAACAATCAAAAGCATATAGTCCAACTCAACTTCAATCAGATTTGTATTTATTTTTAAATTTGCAATCCTTAAAAAGGGTTAATGATTCCTGCTATTTTAAGAAGACAAAAAAAATTAGAGAAGTGAGTATCTATAAAAGATCAATTTTTAAGGTCAAAGCGGTTTTCAATCTTCGTAAACATGTTGAAATCTGATTGAGTTCAATCTCTGTATAATGTTGTGTAAAAACTGTATACCCTCCAACTAATTAAAAATTACAGTGATATGACTTTTAAGTTTGAAGGATGTTACTGTAAAATAATAACAGTTTTAACTTAGGTGATGATTTTTGAAAGATAACTGTAAAATTCTTATGCATCCTGCATAAACTATTTACTCGGTTTGATTTTATTGCTCCAACATTTTTATCTTCTTATAAACTTTAAAAGTTTTGAAACCAGTTTCTTTTATTGTGTAACATGTATGTATGTAAATTATCACTTCAGGTATAGATATAGAATAACCTTCTTTTATCAGAAGAATAGTCACTAATGATCTGATAAGATATATCATCATTAATAAGTAGGACAATATTTTCAAAAACAAATAAAATTCATAAAGATTAAATCAACAATGAAATTAAAAAGACTAAACATATTTACTGTCCTAAAATATATTTAAGCACAGATTCAGTTTCACTTTATGCAGATGACTTGGAAAAGAACATACTTGGTGTTTCATGAACTTGTGTGTCCTTGTCCGTGTCTTCATCCTCATCTAAGTCATCGTCATCAAGGTTGTGCTGATCTTCATTGTTATACTCACGGCCACGATCAAGGACTTGATGGCCATGTTTCTTAATCGTGTCCTTGATTTTCTTAGCCTTTACCTTGACTTTATTCAGAACAGACTTCTTCTCATGATCAAAGTGTTGATCTTCTTCACCATGTGTTACTACATCAAAAAAATTGTTCATTCAAAGAAAAGAAAAAACACCATATGAAGATATGCCTTCAAACATAATACAACTTATTTCCAAATGTGACTCATACCTTTCTCTAAGGGAACAATGAGGGGGTAGCGTTCATCATTCTCCTGCACTTCACTTCGAACTACTCTTGAATCCATGATTGTAGACAGAAGAAAAGTAACTGTTTGATCGTTAATGACAATTATCACAAAGGCATATTTGTTATATAGGGAAGGAAATGACATTATATGGCACACATGGCATCTCATAAACAGAGACACGTGTGGCATAACCGACATGTCTCTGTCATATGACACGTGTTGAGTAGTTTTTTGCGTACCTGGACTCAGAATGAAAATTGTTGTCGTCTTGAACATGGTGATTATGATGTTTTAGATAAGGGCATTTTGGTCCCCTCCGAATAACGACAATGGTTCATTATCTACACACGTAAACTGTCCTTTTCACTGATGCCACTATACAAGTGTCCCTGGCTCTTTGGAAAGAAAGAAAAGCTCGATACAAGTAATTTTTTTTCCTTGCTATTTCTTGACAACTGATACACACAAATAATTGTGAAATTCGTCAACTTTGGATATGTTACGTAAATACTTGACACACCTAAGAAAAAGTAAATACAAGTGTCTAGTTGGTTCTTTTTCTATTGTTTATTGAATAAGGTGTGGACACTTAAATCAAGGTTTCTATGCTTAATTGGGAATAGGTGGAAATAAATGTCAACAGCAGAAGTGTTGTTGTTTATGCCAAATACGAGACTGGGTGAACAAAGTTGTATTCAATAATTAATAGGAGAATATGACAATTATTTTGTGTCACTTTCTAACAGTTTTGTAGTTAGAAAATGGGTATGCTCAGAATGTATAAAAATTACAGGAAAAAAACGAAAAGTGAATTGGGGTCTTCAGATAGCATGATCAAATTTCATTTATAAGCTATCTTCAAGCCTCTTATAAAAACAGTTCGTTAACAAAAATACCATTTTCATATATTAATAAAAAAACTCATGTAAGCTTTAAGTGAAATTTTCGTATTCGTATAGTATATTTACCCCTTTGTTGTAGTTGTCAGTTGTTATCATCCTAAATTATACAGTTTTCTACCGGTTATTTTTTTCTAAAAAAAATGAAAAAGAGAAAAAAAAGTACCATATGTGCCAACGCCAAAATTTAAAAGGAAGGAGCACATGGTTAAAAAAATCCCTGTTACTCCTGCTATTCTTTCTTTATTCTGGCATCAATTGTTGGTAACAGCACAAGTCTATCATGAGACTTCTATGTTCACACACTCCACAATCTAAACTCGTGATCGCCTCATATATAGCAATTGGAAGCTTGTCTGAATTGTGGTTCTCTTTTTCCATTATTGGAGGCTACAAAACATTGAGGATGTGTTAGAAATGACGCTACAATCCATGGTGTGAATCTTCAGGATCAGTTCTCTCTAAATTCGTCTACGGTTGTTTTATGGAACTTCATATTGAAATAATGAGCAAGAAACGAATAAACAGATAACAACAAAGTTGGAAAAATTCCTTGTCCCCACCAGCTGGTTTTCTCCAACATGCTTTAAACAGTTCTTTCTACCTTTAATTTTTTGTCAAAACTATTCATTACCGACGTTTTTGGTATTGTAAAAAATGGTACTGAAAAAATAAGTACTACACATGGGAATTTTCTTTTACAACAATTGTAAAGTCACTGGCTTTCTGTATGTGACATCTAACACTAGTTTTGCAGCAACAGAAACATTATAATAGGAACTCCTAAACTTAGCTTCAAGTTATTGCTTCTGAAAACCACCAATCAAGGTAACCATACAGATGCTTACCCATTAGCCAGATTTTCTTTATTCGACCAACACTCAATCAAAACCTGAGCATCATAGATGTTATGTATATGTTACATTGGATGCCAAAAATTTCAAACTAATGATAAATCATTGGCTGCTACAAGGGACTATATGAGGCCACAGCATCATGCCCCTGGCTCATTTGCCAATGTATATCATACGACATGAATATTGGATGGACTGAGTGCCCAAAAAAATTTGGATGAGTAAAGTTGTTAGTAGATGTCATATAGGTCACAACTTGTGCAAACTGCAATGTACTGGTTAAATTTGGTTCCTACATTCTGATGATGATGATAGCATGCCTCCTTCACCACTCATGCATGATTTCAACGAGACACCACACCTGCAAAGAGTTCTAGTTCTTCTTCCCATTCTTGAGATTGCGTACAGCCATAACAAGCTGTTGTCTTTCTCCCTCTACCTCTGCAAATTTCAGACTAATCTCTGAATATCTTTCCTCCATGTCTTTCAGCTCATTCTCCATGATCTTGTTCTTTTCCTTTAGTAGCGAAACTTCATTCAACAATTCATTTGTAAGGCACTCACCCTCGCTGTCAGAGGAGACAAAATAATAGAAGTTAGTTCTTGAATGAGACAGGCAACATGAAAAAATTGACATTGGTGGCCGCAATTTCATATAACAAAGACAAAGAATGATAGTAATGTTCATGATTATGTTCAAGAGAAAAGAATTTGATTATACCTTCCAGAAGCTTGACAAACTTTGCTCTCATCTGACTTGTTTACTGTTCCTCCTTCGGACTTGCTTGAAGCATCCTTTCCCTGTTACAAAGATAACAGCCTGAGTTATTATAGAGAACCGGGGACTAGTGTATGAAAGGAAATACCAAAGAATTAAAACCTTGATCAGGCATTTGCCTTTAGCACCATTTTAAGTTTGAGATTTTCTGCTTAATTTGTCTTGTCATGTAAGTGTGTTGAGCTTCATAGACCAGAAAAATTTCAGTTTCACTACCAAAGAACCACAAAAGTTTTAAATTGTGTTTGCTTTCATGCACACATTAGTCTTTCCGTGTCAAGTTCCATAAGAACTGGGTTTCAAGCGTATGTTATTTGAATATTTGTTAACTGTTTTTTAGTTTCACAGGTGACAAAAAGAAATTATAGATTATCTGGAATGCACACAAAGAATATTTATCCATGCTTCATCACCATCCTCACTCGGTTTGAATGATAGAATGCGGGGTTTTATTATTTCTTTTAGATAAAAAGGAGGTTACCTTTTGTAATAATTTTTTAAAATGGCTTTTGAAATTTATTTGTAGACACCAAGGGAAGACTAAAACGTCAATTTGTGTTGTATAGATACCTTTTTAATCATTTGTAATTTTTCATATTACTGTAAAGTTTGACATACGTTTATATTGGGCATGAGAAATATTCCAAACACCTTAAAAAGCTGGATTAAAAGCAAATAATATAATCACATCGAGAGGGGTTCTACAAGGATGACTAGTTGAGATGTTTGGTATATGTTATAAAACCACCGTCACCACCGTAAAAGTTAATACTGCTGGAGAAAACTCTTACATATTATATCATTTACCCAACTTTGTACTGATCTCTGGATTTTAATGCTACTACTTATGTCTCCTATTCTGTAGAGTGCATAAACCTTAAGGGAGTGATGTTACTATGTATCTAGTCCTAATATGAAACAATAAACTTTATGTTCTTCATCTCTGATTTTAAATTTGGCAGAAGAACAATTACCTTATGCATTTCTGATTTTGACTTCTTGGCATGTGTTTTAGCTGGAGGCACCTCACTTTCATTGTCTCTTGATGTCAAATTCATATGTGTAACTGCAGCTCGTCCTTTGTTATTCTTGAGCTTCTTTTCCATAGTACTTAAATCTGCTTCCTTCTTCTTCAGCTCTCCTTCTAATTGAGATATTTGTTTCTTCATACTTTCTTTCTCCATTTGTTCTTTATGCAAACCGTGTTTTATTTCAATATGCTGGTTCTTAAAGGTTTCTACTTCTGACAATAGAGTGCCAAGTATCATCTCCCCGTCATTTGAGATCATAAATGGTTGTCCTTTCTGAGCTATTTTTGCATCCTCCCTTACTTTTTCAGACAATACACCATCTTCCATCAACATTCTAATTTGAGATCTGAGCATTTGAATTTGCTTGGAAAACAAAGCATCCTTTTCATCATAGTGCCTTTGCACATTCTCAAGTTGTTTAGACTTAACTTCTAGTTCTTGTGACATCTGTTCTATTATTTTTGCTTTTGAGTCTCTTTGGTCCAAGAGCTCTTTCATTTTCACTTCATTCTGATCTGTGATAAGCCTGAGCTCTTGATTGCATTTATGGAGCATTTCTTCTATAAGTTTGTTCTGGTGCCGCAACTCATCAGCCTCTGCAACTGCTTTCAAAGTCATATTTTCATTCTCCTCAACTTTTTGTGCCATTTCAACAGAAAGCAGTCTATATTCCTCCTGAAAACGCTCGGATGCTACAGCATTGTTGTGTCTTGTCTTTCTCAAGGCTTCTTCTGCTTGCAGGGCCCTTTCTTCCTGCTCAGTTTTTGCACATTGCATGACATGGAGATCTTCTTCAAATTTCTCTGCCTGTGTTTTCAGTTCTTTCTCCAACGACTTAACTTCATCTTCAAGTTCCTTTATGTAGACCAGAGATGCTGAAAATTCATCTTCCTGCACCTTTAGCTTCTCTTCTAATCTCTCTACATGGGATTCAAGTTGTTGTATTGTAACTAAAGAAGATGAATGTTCATTTTGTAACTTGATGTGGTGTGCTTCATCTTGCTTTAATCTCAAAGATATGTCCACATTTTCCTTCTTAAGTAGATCATACTCCAAAGTAAGTTCTTTAATTTGCTCACTGAGCTCGTCGCGTTGTTTACAGTAATTGTCTATTTCTTCATCCTGGTCTGCAATTTTTAGCCGCAAGAGGTCAAATTCTATGCCCTCTTCACGCTCTTTAGTAGTCTTCTGGGATTTTATATTCGTAGATAGATCCAATATTTCCTTATCCTTTTGTTCCAGCATTGCTTCAAGGTCTGTCACAGCCAAAAGTAATTCAGAGTTTGAGTTTTGTGTCTTCCGCAGTTGCAATTGAAGATTGGCACTCAATTCCTTTTCATAAACAAGCTCTTCCTTCATTGCCTCTAACTGAAGCCTAGTATCTTCAATCTCAGACTTCAAGGTTTTGGAGGTTTTGGAGGTTTTGGAGGTTTTGGACTCATTACTGAAGTTCTGCTGGGACTTGAGTTGCTCGTATTTGGTTTTGAGCAAATCTCTCTCCTCTCTGAGGCTGATTATTTGTCTTGACAAATTCTGTCCCCTACTGCTTTCTTTTTCTATCTGCTTTCGAAGTGATTGTAACTCTATTTCTGACACTTCTGCTTGCCTTTTCAAAGAAGTAATTTCATTCTTGAGGCTTTCATTGGAATTATTTGAAGGCTCTTGTAATCTTTCTCTTGGAGGATTGTCTTCCAGGCTGTTAGTCCAGTCACCTAAACTTCCATCTGATGCCGAACCCATTGACCAGTTCGTGTTTGACCTCTTATGCACCTGGGCTTCTGTTGCAATGGCTTTAACAGTTCCTTTTGATGGAATTGAATTTTGTCTGAAGCTATGAGGATCCTCCCATGAAGCTAACACAGGACTAATGCCATTAGATGCATCTTGTTCAGAATACTCAGATCTGGTCCTCGCCATGTGTTCGTTCTATAAGATAATAATAAAAAGTAATGTAACTGTAATGTCTGTAAATGAATTATTTGTTGGAAGGTTAGCATAACTTGTCCCCTTCAGAAGTTTCTGTTTAGGAAAGTTTCAACTTTGTTCAATAGAATAGTTAACCATATAAAGGTATCTTATAAGACCTTACTTCATCAACATTATAACTTTCGTGGTCTGTACTGCCATAGCTCAGCTGGTGTTTCAAGCTTCTATCACTGCCAAGTTCCTCAGCCCCATTATCTTCCCCATTTCTGGAATCAAGGTATAAAGGTTCAGAGAATATTGGAAACAATTGAATTAAAAAGAAAAATAGGAACGTTGTATGGTTTAAATAAAGGGGGTTCTACGGTTCATTTTCACCTTTCAGCAGCATATCCTTCCACGTTCTGAATAGTCACCTGTCTCAACAATTCTTAAGTGAGAAATTAAGAACTGAATGGTGTTTGTAATCTGATTACGTTGAAGAATTATAATTTTATAAAAAATCTCAAATTCTTAAAGGGTGCTAAAGAATAAGAGATGAATGTTGTGGAATTGCTTATTAAGACCCGAAGCAAGGCAATAGGAAGATAAGGAGCACTAACGTGTAAAACTATGCCTGAATTGGCAAACTTTAGGGGTAGAGAAATTGTGATTGGCTCAATTTCTGCAACAAAATCAGCAAAATCAATCGAGGCCTCTCCAAGAAAGCCAGATTTTGAAGATCCCTGCAAGAGCCCACACGAAGATTAGACTTTCCAACCAACACCCTACTTGAGTAAAGGACGGTGAGTGTGAAACTACAACTACTTCTTACGGTCGAAACAATGAAATGGTAGATTTTCTCATGAATTTTGCCTGATTTTGCATCCGTAACAAGTTTAACGGATTCAAAAATTGGATTCTCCCACGAGCAGGTCCCATCTTGCGCAGCAGTTTTCTCTAGTTTCACTGTTGTCTTACCAACATCATCTGGCACCAAAGATACCATTATAGCATTCTTTTTCATCTTTGGCACCTGATAAAAAGGAGACATGGAACAAGGTCAAAAACACTGTTTGCAGAATCTGGAAATCGGTTTGTGTATATAATAATCCCATCACTGCACAAACTGTCAAACTCTTTTAAATAAAACAAATAAACCACACTGTTTAAATTTCAAATTTCTTGCGAAACATGTTACGATTATAACAGCTAAGTCAGACCCTATTTCTAGATTTAGTTGTGACATACAATAAGGATTTGGTTTTATGTTTGTCTCACTGACCTGAGTTGCCTGAAATTCCAATTTGAACACAGCTTTGATCTTGTGCTTCTTGCTCCATGACTTGAACATGTTTTCAGGGTGATAAAAACGGCCGTTGCAAGGTTGTAGACGCAGAAGAAGCCTCTTATAAGCGGCACCTCATTGGTGAGGAAATGCTATGTGTTGGATTTGAAACTGTGGTATTTATTATGTGTGACAAACGCAGTTAATGACCAGAATGAAGTGTCAGGATGTTCAGAAAGCCAAGAATCTTGTGAGTTGTGAAGTACCTCCTGATTTCCTGAGATACTGAACTTGCACTAGTAGAAAACTAACAAAAAAAGTGATGGAGGAAATAAAATTGATATTAGAAGCTTCTCAGCATGTCTTCATGCACCAAAGATAATGTAAAAAGAACACAGCTGAATCCCATTATGGTCTACTTTTTGCTTTATTGCAAGGACAAAAGAGTGGGGAAAATTGAAATGACAACATTGACCAAACACATGAGTGTTAATCACGGTAAACTGTTTTCTTTTTTCAATTGATGTTTGGCTCTGATTAAAATTCCAAGATAATAACTACATTTACTTCTTGTCAAACTCACATTTATGGTGAAATGGGGTTTGAGAGAACTTACACTTAAATTAAAAGAAAAAAATAATATGAGAAATAGAGTTAGGAAAAGAGGTTGAAATCAGCAGCTGGATTGTAATTGTTCCAATCCAACATTTAAATGGGAATAATGAGAGCATGAGAATGACATTTCATTTGACCAAATTTACCAAGAAATCTAATTTTTCCAAAGGGTAAGTGAAAGTGGAGAGCAGCGTCCATGTGCTTCTGTGCTGTCTTTGATAAGCAACAACCCACCAAGACATAAATGTAGCACCTTTCTGCTGTAAGGGCATGATGAAGAAAGTTTACTCAGAAAAATGAGTTGTAAATGCAAAGAGCCTTGGTCCCCACAACTGTTAAACCCTCTTCATATCTATTTAAGAGACAATATGCTAATAAATTAAAATATGATTTAATAAAAAACCCTAATTTCATAAACCAAGGCAAAGAAAACCAGGTATTTGTGTATACACACATCCAGCACATGCCAGTGTCGGCAACCAAACAGATCCTTAACGTATTCAAATTATTTCTCCCATGTGTGTTAAATAATAAGCAAGAAACACGTCAACGATAAGGCAGAAGAACCCTTAAAAAACTCACACATTATTTGATGTGTATCATTGAAAAGAAAGTTTAAACAAAAATTCAATTTAATTTAATTTCAGATTCCTCGCACATGAGACTCGCATTATAAGATCTGAAACTAAATATGGGCCATTCTTTGAAAAATAAATTGGTATGTATAAAATACAAAAAATAAAAGTATATAAAATAATTGACCTTCTCTTACCCAAGCAAACGGCTAGTGTGGTCCACAAGCAAATGGTACCTTGCGAGATAGAATGAGAAACAACAGCATTGACTTCATGGCTCCTTACAAATTTAACATGTTGCAGCAGCAGCAGTAGTGAGGTTTATACAATTCTTTTTAACTATATCAAAAAACAATTAAATTTCATTCATATTATTAAAAATGAGAATACATTAAAATTAAAATTTGATATAAAGACAAAAATCAAAATTATTCTGTAATTTAAGGATAAAAGAATAGTTAAAATTAAAGGAAAATTATCAACAATGTCTGGATTCCTATCCTCAAATAAAATCAAATATTCAACTCTAGGTCATTGATTGATATTTCTCATTATGTTAACCTAATGTGTGACATTTGACTATTGCAGCTAAAGAAATATTTTCATTGATGATAAATAAAAGGTTGGGGAATTCTATCATAGTACCAAACCACTTGTTTCAAAGCATGTTGCTTCTGAGGTGTTTGGAAGCCGTGTTCATTAGAGTATCAGTGTCAAGTGTGGTCAGTACGTGTAACCAACCAACCCTTCAAGGCATTGATTTGCCATAAATTTAGAAGACGAGGCACTTTCTTTCTCACTTTTTATTTCTTTCTTGAAAAAAAGAAATGGGAAAACCCATCCTCGATTTCTTTTCTTGGTTACCTGTCCAAAGCATCACTCTACAAAACTCACTTCTTCCCACCACACTGAGCGCTACAACTTTTCTCCCCTGTCCCAGACTTTCGTTTGCATCTTCAGAATAATATTAATAATAATAAATAATTCAGTAGTAAAATAAAATAAAAGTTTAATTACCTTTTCAAAAGTGAGCACTCATCTTGGATTAGCAAGCACTGGCTAGAAGAATGATTGGCTGCTTGGACAATCATGGAGATGGAGTCATGGAGAACCAAAAGGCTGCAAACAAGAATTAAAGATTAGTGCCCCACAATTAAGATGCCAAAGCAGAATGAAAGTCTTTTGAGATTTCATGAAGCAATGAAATCGGTTCTTTCTCCTATTCATGTGGGGAACTTCGAGATTTTTATTTTATAGGCAGAAAAATCTTCAGTCTAATGGTGGCATTTATGTTTGCCAGCTACAAGGCGATGTAAGTTACGTACGTTTCTCAATTGTTTGATGAAGTTTTACTTCAGCATATCAATGAGAATATTTATTAATACTAAATATTTATATATATATATATGATAATATTCTTTTATTTAATATACTATTTTCTTACTCACATAAAAAAAGAATTAAGTAGAGGAATGCATTGATTAAAGTTTTAAAGGGCTTTGAATAATTATTAAATAATATTTAATAATTAATGCGACAATTCCTAAATTATTTTGAAATTAAAAAACGTGTAGCTTAAAGAGGAAAAATTTGAAAAAGAAGTTTAAACTTGGCTACTATTAACAACTATTTCCGTTATAAAAGGTGAACAAATTGTCTAAACAGAAAACAGTTTAACGAAAGGAATTAATGAATTGAAATTTTAAAGAATTTTCTATTAGAATTTTAAAAATTGTGTTATCAGTAAAGACTTTTTTATATAAATAATTCTTGTAATATTAAATCAGAATAGTTTAAGAAATTAAAAATACTAACATCTGATTCTAATATTATTCATCGAGCTTTTCTACAATTTATAGACAGTCTTTTGGTTATTCTTTTATGTGAAAAAACAATTTTGTAGTTAAAATTACATAACTGATGATGCGTTCAAGGTAATGTTTCATTTACATTCTTTTCTTATTATATCATGACAAGTTACCTTTTAAAACCTGTTTATAATTTTACAAAATTTACACTGTAATTAAGAATTAGTTAGTTTATATGTTCCCATTTTCTAACAAGAAGTTTTATAAAACTTATATCTTAAGTTTATTATTTAAACTTTTTTCAAATAAATATGAAAACTAGTCGTATGATAGTGTTTACCTGCTATTTGTTTTGTCTAAAGGGATTTTGTTATTAGATATATGTGAAAAAATATCCACGACTCTTTTTTTATACCATGATATTATTCATAGATGCTTTTATATCTAATTTATAAAATTTAATTTAATTATTTAAAAACGAATATTTAAAATATAAACTTAAATGAGAAAAAAAATAATATTTAAGTATAATTCAAATCAAATTATCCAATAAATATTAATGTAATATTATTAAAAATTAAATTTAAATTAACTTCATAAGTCTAAAAAAAATAATAGACTATGTCTAATTACGGAGTGAACTTTAAAATATTACAACAGGCCAATAGGAATTCAAAATTAAACAAGATTACAATATTTTTTTAAATATCAGTTAAAATATTGTCAATACATATATACATAGGGTGTTACTTATTTAAATTACTATTTTGTAAAGAAATGTGTTTGTTTTTTCTTTCACTTCTGGGTATATAACCACTAACATATTTTCAGGAGGATAATAGACGTTAGTCATAGTTACATACTTAAACGTCCGATAAAATGTATCGAACTTTATGCAAAAAATTGTCGTAGATTTATGCTAAATAACATGAGTAGATGAAAAATGGCACATACCGTTTATCTGAGATACGCATATTTACTCCCATCCACGGTAGCGTATAATACCGCTAAGTGTGGGATACTATCTATCCTATACCGTCGCAAATAAAAAAATTTATTATGATTATACTAAATTCAATATTTATTAATTATTTAAAGACTATTAATATATTTAATTAATTCATTTAAATTAAAATATAAATATTTTTAAAATCTATCGGGATTCACATTCGCATCCACGTATCCTTTGAAACAGGTTTTATATCCGCTATTTAACGGATCTGGACGGAATTTTGTCGGGTCGGGTAGGAAGCACTATCCGTTCGATGACCCGTGCCCAGTATCCGATCATTGTTGATTTGTCTAGCCTACATTTTACTTGGATAATGATACTTTTACAATATTTTAACACATACATTCATTATGTGATTGGTCGTATTGGTATTTATGATTATATCATTATTGTGGGTATTGTGGAGTAATTTTAACCAATCAAAAATGACATGTAGATGATATTAAAATATTGTCAAACAAAGTAATCATATCCATTCATTCAGTCTTGTTGTGACTTTGTTCACTTTGAATGAAAAAATGAAGAAGAAAGATGATTGTGATGGCAATCTGATTCAAAATTGGAATTGTGTCTCTTTCTGACTCTGTAAAAGCACAAAATTCGTTACTTGTGAATTTTGTTCCTAGCTTCTTGTCGTCATCTTATCAATGTCACAATAGAAGATGATATTAATAATATGTTCTCTTTTTTTCTTTCTAAAATGATCACAATTTCATAAATACTAAGATGGCGAATCTTGATCGATCTGGAAGTGGGGTTTGCACTTGATTTAAAATTTCGTCTGATATAGTAATTATATTGAAATAATTATTCTGATAATACACACAAATTAAACCAATAGAAGAAATAACCAATTAGATTAAGAGTTTCAAGAATAATTTAAAAGGTTTCAAAACTAAAGCCGTGTTACTTGAGTTTTTTAAATAAACTTTTCATAATAAAAATTCAGAGCAAACTGTCCTGAACAACGTTTCCATATTATAGGTAATGTTATACATCATTAATATTTAATGAAGATAATATTTAAATATAGATTTTGGTGATATGAAAAAAAAAATAAGTGATTGTTTTATTAAGAAATTAATGAAACTTACTATTAGTATATATTATACATATTTAATTTTTTATGCTAAAATAATATAAAAAGATTTAGCTGCACTAACATCTTTTATACACGAGAGAAAACCTTACTATTACTAACAACACTGCTATTTCTACAATCAGATGAACTTTTTTCTTCAGTTGGTCATCTTCAATCTTCAAAATCAAGGACTTAACTTGGTGTCTTTTTTTACCATAATTAAGTTTCACAAAGATAGTTCCCATGTTCTGACTAAAGAATGACACTAAAACACCAACACAGAACTGATTCAAAGTTATGTTTGAATTTAAATTCCTGAAAACCATCTGGAATTATCAGATGGTCATTTAAGACTGTTGGACCAAAATCTGATAACTGAGGTACACCCTTTGCTTAGAAGATGGTACCTTACTTTACAATTACTTGCAATTGGAATCTCCAAACTGT